TTAGAAAAAACACTCACTCTTGAAGAGATTACACTTACTCATGCCTTTGTGGACTTCCTGATCAATTATATTCTCACTCAAATAAATGCTCTTCTATTGGCTAAGCAATTCGCAAAATTAACATTTGGTTCATCTTATAGATCAAATATAGCATATCATTAAATTATATATTAAATGTTCAAATCTAGATGAGCTTTGACCACTCTAGTAGGTTTAGGTTACAGATAAACTAGTCTGAGCTTTTATTTTTGCATGTAATTTTCAATTTATTTGTTTTATACAAATAGTAGTAGCTATATAGTTAGCAGTTTAATGGTTAGCCCTGACTGCAAGTGTTGGCCTCAGCCATAGCATATATATATGTAACTATTTTAAATTATTAATAAAGATATAAGCAAGGCCTCACCTTAATACCAAAAAAAAAAAAAAAAATTTAAAAATAAATATATTAGTAAATTATATTTAAAGTATAAAATTAATAATCTAAATATTTTTAAATAAATTAAATGTAATATAACTAGAGATAAGCATCTTGCACTTATTAGTAATATGTGCTTAATTTATATATATATTTTTTATTTATTTATTTTTTTTAAAATAAGATAAAGACCTATATTAGGTTCTACAATTTGGCTCAGCTTTCAAATTTTTGCAAGCCAGACTGGGTTTGAAGCAAAATTTTATAATTGCAGATTACACTAGATTAAAAAATTTATAAAATTTTATAATAAATTTTGTGAGCTAAGTCAGGTTAGATCAAATTTAAAAAAATTTAATATATATAGGCAGGCCAGATTAGGTTAACAAAAAATTTTTAACTTTAAATATAGGCTGGGCCAGGTTAGAAAAAAATTTTAACTCTAAATGCAGGCCAGACTAGGTCTCAAAAACAGGCAATTTGTAGACCTTTAAGATAAGGTTTTAATTATATTTTTATTAATTTGTAAAAAAAGCTTTAAAGGCTTTTTTAGATATAAATTACAAACTTATTCTAATTACAAATATGTTACAAAAATGGATCTCAAACTATAGATAGATTTTTATTTAATTTATCTGCAATCTAAACTTACTAAATTAGTTAAAACTTATCTAGATTTAATAGTATAAGATATTGTTTATAAAATAACTATATAATATTTAGTATCAAATCAAAGATCAATTTTGTAAAGTGCATTTTCTAGTAATGAACAGATATTATCTTCTGTATAGTTAGCAGACTATATAGTATAGATTATGATATTAATTAGAATAATTATAGGATCTTTTACAAATTATAAATCTGTTATTTAGTGTAATATTGTTGTCTTTTTTTTATTGTACTAGTTCAATAGTATATAGTTTTTAGATGCAATCATATACTTTTTGTAATATTTTAAATAGTTATTAAAGTTGCTGTTTAATAAAATATAGTATAAGGTTTAATTATTATAATTAGGTATGTTGGCATATATCTTTGTAGTATTGTATATATATTGCTTTTTTTTCATTAAGCATTATTAACTGATAGGCTGTTATATTAAGTTAGTAAATAATATAATTGTTATAATTATAATTGTATAATATCTAATAATAAGTTATTATTAATAATTTTAGAAATTGTTTTTGTAATAATACTAGTAAGATTTGTCAGATTAGAACAAAGCAACTAGTATAATAAATGTTCTGATGTTTGGCAAATAATGCAATTATTGTACTAAAAGCTGTTTGAGTATAGTTTATAAAGATGATATAATGTTAGTAAGATATTAAGTAGTATTTTAATCTTAAAAGATTTACTTTAATTAAGTAAAAAGTTGGTATAATTATTGTTTATTTAGTATTATTATTAAGATATAACTAAGTTGCATTTTAGTTAATTTGTAATAACAATAAGATAATATTGCTTATACAGTATTGTAATAACTATATAGCAATTATATATATATAACAGATATTTTTAATAACTCATCTAGTAGGTTATTTAATTGTATATATATATATATATATTTTAGTATTAAAGTAATCTCTTTGGTCTTTTAACTTTTATTAACAACTTTTTTGATAATGTGATTCAATGAACCACTATAGAAGAGCATACAATTAGCTATATGTATAACTTTTCTATATTACCTATTTAAGAAGTCTGCCTAAAGATTCTTTACTAATTGCTATATCTAACATTTCTACTTAAGTGTTTTATTTTAAACATTTTGAATCTGCAATCTGTATTAATATTACTAGATCATATCTAGATGTTTAGATTATCATCTTAATCTTAGAACTATTTTATTCTCAAAGTAAACTCCCAGAGCCTTTTATATTTATTTTTATAGCTGACCTAAGTATTGCTATAGCAGAACTAATATTTGCAGTCAGAGTTATATTATTTAACTACTATACTCTTGTAGATTTATACAGACCTCAGTATTTACTTTATAGCATAATCCTAGTACTTTAGTATATATTTGTCTTTTATTTAGTTTTTTGTTTAAACTCCTAATCCAAATAGCTCATATAGGACTATGATCAGTCCATTAGTATATTAAGTTGATCTAATATCCTTTTTTTTTAGTTTGTTTTAATGGCCTAGTTGGTAATATCTTCAAAACTTTCAACTTAGAAGTTATTGCTCATCTAGATACTATAACTGGATATTACAACCTTGGTATCCGTTTTCTTAGACTAGTCTTTACAATAAGACTATCAAAAATCTGGCTATTTTTTTACTCAAATCTTCTTAAATAAACTTCTTGTTATTTAATTTTAATAGATTTATATGACTACAAAAACTTATCTAGTGTTTGTATTATTCAATTTGTCAGTTTGCATTCTTTTGTATAACTAATTACACAGATGCTCTATAATCTGTTAGTTATGCTAATATGACTACTATTACAGATATTCTAATCTAATCATTAGTAACAATTGTCATAATACAAATATTATATAGGTGATTATTCAAATTTTTATCATTAATAAGATTTGAACATCCAACTTATCACTTAGAAGGTTAACAATTTGACAACTTTACTAGGTTATTACACCTTTTTATTGTATATTTTCTATAAGTAAAAAGGTAAGCAAAAAGATAAAAGTATACTAAAGTATTGAAGTTATATTGTAAAGTAGATGCTAAGTTTGTGTAAACTCTATAAGAGCATAACATTTAAATAATATAACTCTAACTGCAAGTGTTTGTTTTGCTATAGTAATACTAGATTAGCTATAAAAATAGATATAGAAGGCTCTAGAAGATTTATTTTAAAAATAAAATAGTTCTAAAATTAAGATAATAATCTAAACATCTGGGTATAATTAGTGATGTTAATACAGCTTGTAGTTCAAAAGTTTAAAGTAAAACACTTAAGCAGAGGTGTTAAATACAGCAATTAATAAGAAACCTTTAAGCAAACTTCTTAAATAAGTAATATAAAAAATTTATATATGTAGCAAATGTATGTTTTTTTGTAGTCATTTTTATTAAATTACATTATCAAAAAAGTTATTAATAAAAATCAAAAGACTAAAAAGGTCATTTTTTAAAAAAAAAAATAAATTTAAAAAAATATTAAATATATTTACTATTTAAGTAATTTTAAAAATCAAAATCAGTAAAGTGTGATAATTTAGTAAAGTAAATAAGTTGTCAACTCTCTAAATAGTAGGTTAAGTATTCAAAATTTATCAATAGTAAAAATTTGAATAATTACTTATATAAGATTTATATTATGTTAATTGTTTCTAATAATTGAATTTAAATATCTGTAATAATAATTGTATTAGTATAACTGGCAAATTATAAGACATCTGTATAATTAGTTATATAAAAAAATGCAAACTAATATTAGATAATACAAACTTTAAATAAGTTTTTGTAACTATATAAATTTGTTAAAATTAGAAAACAAAAAGTTTATTTGAAAAGATCTAAGTAAAAAAGTAGTAGAGATTTTTAATGATACTACTGTAAATATTAGCTTTAGAAAACAGATACCAATAAAAAATCCAAACAGATAAGAATCTTTAGATAAAGAGTATTACCAATTAGACTACTAGAATAGACTAAAGAAAAAAATATTAGATTGATCTGATATATCAATAAACTAGTTATAGTTCTATTAAGTTATTTGAATTAGAGTCTGATAACAATACAGAATATACTAAAATAATTTAGATATACTAAGTAAACTCTGTAAAGACATAGTAATTTAATAATTAGTTCTAATTATAAGTATTAATTCTGTCATTGCAATATCAGATCAGCTGTAAAAATAGATACAGAAAGCTTTAAACAGTTTATTTTGAGAAGAAAATAGTTTTAAGATTGAAATGATAACTTAAGCATAACCTAATACAGTCAGACCTTGATATAATCACCAGGTTGGAAAACAAAAAATTGGTGATTATAAAAAGTTGTGACTATATAAAAGTCAAAATTTATATGTTTTATATAAGCTAGAAACAAAAAACTGGATAACTATATCAAGGTTGTGACTATATCAAGAGTGACTATAACAAGGTCTAACTGTAATATTAATACAAATTGCAAAATACTTAAGCAAAGATGTTAGATATAATAATTAAAAGAGAATCTTTAAGTAAACTTCTTAAATAAATAATATAAAAAAGTTATATATATAACTAATTATATATTTTTTTTGTAGTAATTTATAAAATCATATTATTAAAAAAAATTATTAATAAAAATTAAAAAACCAAAGAGGTTAACTTAAAAAAAAAATCTAATTAGTATTATTAGTATTATTAGTTTTATTAGTTATAAGTTTGTAATACAAATTTTCTGACTTTCAAATTAGATTTCAAGAATTAGATATAATATTTCAAAACAAATATTTATTTTGTTAAAGATTGCTTATTTTTTAAAAATTCTATAAATAACTTTTTAGTACTTTAATAAAAAATTTTCTTAAGCAATTTTAATATATAAACTGTTAATACCTAATTTTAATATAAATGTTAAATTTAATTATAATAAACTTTAAGGCAATTTGTTTGTATTATTACAAACCTAATATATATTTTTTGATATTATCACTAGTATTGCCAGTTTTACCAATTTTATTAATTTCATTAGCATTACTAATATTATCAATTTCATCAATATTATTAATTTTATCAGTATTATCAATATTATTAATATCATTAGTTTTACTAGTAATAACAATTTTATCAGTTTCATCAATATTATTAGTTTTACAGTATTATCAGTTTTACTAGCATACCAGTTTCACCAACATCATCAATTTCATCAATATCATCAGTATTACCAGTTTCACTAATTTCACTAGTATTATTAATATTACCAGTATCTTCAGTTTCATCTGATAAAATTAATTAGTTTCACTTGCAACTCTAGTTGCAACTAATTTATTAAGTAAATAAATAATTTTTTAATCAATTCTTTGCAACTAATCAATTAATTATTTAGTTAATTAGTTGATGTCTAAAAAGTTCAGTTGAGTAGTTGTCAACTAACCAACTAATTGATTAATTTCAATTTTGATTTGCATTACTAGCGCTAGGCTGAGTTTTAATTCTAACACATAATCATTTTCATTTTAATTGGCTGAACTAATATGCATGATCAGGATCATCATTTCCTTATTTGGGACGTTCCTACCATAAGTTCCCTTGCTAACCATCACTACGTGATTTGTTCCTGGTATGGTTTCAAGATCTTTTTCTATACTTTTGAATTTGCCAATTTTTAAACGGACCTTCAAGGGCATTAATTCAATTCGAAAATATGTTACTGCTTCAGATACCGTTAAACTATCATTTACTCAATTTGATCCACCAAAGCTAAATGAACCGTCTGAATGTAGCACATTAATAATTCTTCATGGGTTATTTGGCTCAAAACAGAATTGGAGATCATTGGCTAAAGTTTTCGCCCAACGCTTGAATACTCGTGTCTTTACTTTGGTAAAGGTTAATTTCACATATATCTATTGATTTTTATATATTTTTAATCAGCTTTAAACTTCAGGATCTAAGAAACCATGGTGAAAGTCCACATTCTGAAGTGCATAATTATGAGATTATGGCCAAAGATGTTGTATCCTTCATGAACGAACACCATCTTAAAAGAACATTTGTAATGGGTCATTCTATGTATGTGTAGCATATCTAATAAAGCATTTATTGAGATTAGTTAGAATTACAACAAAACATAAACTTGTTGATTAGGGGAGGGAAGGTTGCCATGACCATGGCACTCATGCAAGTGGCTCAGATTGATCAACTCATAGTTGTCGATAGTGCTCCAACTGATGCTCACTTGTCAAAAGAGTTTGATACTTATGTCGGTGCAATGAAAAAAATCGAACAAGTTGGAGTCGTGAAACAGAGTCAGGCTGATGAAATATTGAAAAGTTATATTTCGGTAAAATAGATATGCTTTTTCTAAAATATCGATACATTTTCTTTTAAAATGTGTCACCTAAATATTGCTAAACTAATAGGATATTCATATACGGCAATTTTTGTTGACGAATCTCAAAAAAGATCAAGAAAAAGGAACATACAAATTTCGTATTCCATTAGAAGTGCTCGGCAATTCGCTTAAAACGTTGCACGGATTCCCTTTTGGCTCTGCTCGCCACACTTTTCATAAAAGTACACTCTTTGTCGCTGGGACCAAGTCGAATTACATCCTTCCAAAGGTTGACTCAGCACATTAATCTATTTTTTATCTGTTCGATATTACTTCTAACCATAAAATTCAAACTGTTTATTCAAGGTCCACCCCACTATTAAATCGCTATTTCCCAATTCGGTGATTGTTGAGTTAGATACCGGCCATTGGGGTAATTCCTGAGTTTGCTTATTTCAATTAATATGAGCCAAATTCAATCCTCTACAACTCTATTCCATTTTTAGTTCATTTCGAGAAGCCTCTTGAATTTGCAACGATCGTAACTGATTTTTTGAAGGATGATCTTTCTAAGTAACAGGAAGAATATATTTTATTTAGAAATGGCTTCTTAATAAATTCGTCTAAGCACGTTTCAACAAGAATAATGATTAACTTGCAACAATATTGATAGAAACTATAGTTTTTTAAATTATAGGAAAATGTTTTTTGTGCACCCGCACTGTAGTAAATAAAGTATATATATAATGGTTTAAAAGAACATTTTTAAGAACAAATTTATATATTGTTTAACAAATAAATTTATTTAAACAACAAAAGTTAGTTATTTTAATAAAAAAAATTATATTACAGTACAGTCAACGCTTTCTATATCGAACTCTGAACTAATTTAAAATTTTTAAGCTTGTTATAAAATGGTTCATTATATTCAGAGTTGAGTGTATAAAACTTTGTTTGAACTTTAGTTTAATATTTTTTTTTTTTTTTAAATATTAACGGTGAGGTAGTTTAATATTTTTATCAAGATATGTTACACTATGTAATATATATATATGTATTTTATATAGGGGACTACTATTTTCATTATGGTTATATAGGATATCCTATTTTTAGTTTTTACAATAATAATATATAAACCTTTTAAAATTTAATAAATTTTTTTTATTTTTTAATATTAAGATGAGTACTTGTAATTTAGAATTTTATTGATAATATGTTTAGTTTAATGTTGTATTACAACAGTCACAAAGAGTAATTATAAGAAGAGTATACAACTAATCATTTGTACAACTTTAGTCATTTTCTAATTTAAGTAGTCAGTTCAAATGTTTTATAATAGTTGCTATATCTAAAACCTGCTTATAAGTCATCTATTTAAATACTCTGATTTTTGTATTTATCTATCTATTTATTTTACCAATTGTTCTAATTATTATTGATACAAATATATTATAGTTATTAAGTCTTTAAAACAGTTCACTTAGATGAAAAACTTTTGACATTGTATTAAACCTACTAGAGTTTTTTATATTTTATTTATAATTGATCTAATATTATATAGTTAAAACTAATATTTGCAATTAAAACTAACTATTAAACTACAATATTTTTGTAAAATTTATACAATCTCAGTACTCTTCTTTACAATTTCATTAGAATCTTTTATGTTCTTATAAGTTTTTTTATACTATCAATTTAGTTAGTCCATATAATATAATTTTATATTCAGATTAACTAATAGTCAAATTAGTAAATCTTTTTTATCTAAGGATTTTTATCTATATAGATTATCTGTTTTAGATTTTTTTTTGAATCAAGATTTTTATAAATAATATTATTAAAGATTATACTATTTCTATATTTAAAATTTTCTAAGTTAGGTTTTTTATTTAGTATATATTTTTTAAATTTATTTGTATAATATTACATACTTTTAAAATTAGTTTTGGTACAACTAAAATTATAGAGTTACAATTTCAAATACTTTATTTAAGTTATCAATATTTAGTTTTTTATTATAATTTATACTTTTCAGATTTATTTATATAATATTGCATATTTTTAAAATTAGTTTTAAAATAGTTAAAATTACAAAATTATGATTTTAGATATCTTTCTAAATTACCAAATTTGAATTATTTTTTAAAAAAGTTTGGTACTAATGAGATTTAAACTTTGAACCTATTGCTTAGAAGATGATAACTCAACTTCTACATTGGAATTATTATTCTTTTTTTTATTAATATTCTAAAAACTAATAAGTAAAGGTTTTTTAGATTTTTAATTAAAGTTCTAAAACTTATTTTTTTAATTCTAAAAATAATTAAATTATTAAAATTGTTTTAGTAAACTCCAAGATATTAAAAATTAAGATAATAACAAAAAAATTTACAAATTATTAATTATATAAAATTTTTTAATAATTAGTAATTTAAGCTAGTTATAGTTATTTTGTTTTATAGTATATTTTTAAGACTATATCTATCTAAAGTACTTTATACATATAGTTATCTTTTTGATTATTTTATTTTTAACAAAAAACTTACTAAAATCTTCTGTATTTTATATATAGTTAATCTAGTTTTATATACTATACTATAGCCAAACTAATACTTGCAGTTATAAATATTACTTGTTAAACTACTATATTATATTTTTTTAAATTTATAAAATTTATTAAAATCTTTGTACGCAGAGGACCAGGTTAATGACAGCCAGACCCAACGTACAGGACAGGCTATGGTATCCTGTGCAGCTGTGCAAGCCAAGCATACGGTGAGCGAATCTACAGAAGAACTCTCTACTTCCTTGAACTCCATCTCACCATCCCACATCAAGGAAGAACTCCAAGACTTATCA